ATATATATATATATATATATATAAATAAATTGGTCAACATTTTAAGGAATAAGCAGTAAGGCAATGTATTAAGTCCAAAGATTCCAAATAAAGTAAACACAATTACGTTTTTTTTTTTTTTTGTTAGATACTGCTGACGATGCAATATCACAATATATACAGTTATTTCTCCTAATAAATTTCATCAATTTAAGCTTATGACAAAACTTTCAAAACATACTTCTAGCCAGAACAGAGGTTATGTTACTTCACTGAAATCATGACACCCTCTTTTGGAAGTACCATCAATGACACTACACTAGTTATAATTAATCTTCCTTTATCTTAAGAACTATTTTTCATATGCAAAGTGTTTTCCAAGTTAACTACCCATCCTGGCACAAACATATATCCACCACACCAGTGACATAACTGCAAAAGATGCCCCCGGGCATTAAAAATAATTTGGCCCCTTACATTTATGTCCCTATAATTGTAGTTATGATTCAGGCCCCCCTGAAATTGCAGCGCCATACTTATGCAACTGCACCACACAACCTAGGAACAACACAAGAAAAATAAAACAAATAACTGCACAATACCACATCATGCTCACATAAAGATGAAAAGCACAGACTAGTATCTAGTGGTGTTCAGACATGGTCAGCATTACATTAACCTTGTATGTATGCACATATCAACAGCAAATTGAGAGAAACAAAGTAGCTAGAGAATGGAAATAAACCTGTATCAATAAATGAATTTGAAAAAGGAAAGAAAAAAAAGGTTTTTATATTAAAAACAACAACAACAAAAGAACATTCTTCAAGAAATAGTCAGTGACCGTTCACACACTTCAATCAGTGAAAATGTCAACTGTATTCATATAATCTACATAGTTTCTTTTCTATATATTACACATTTTTTTATTCAACCACACATAGCAGCCAGAGTACATCACAAGATGGTAATTAACTTAATAGTCAAAATACAATGAGAGAAAGCTCATGAATTAAAAGACATCATATATAACTACCATGTTATTCTAGGCCCGGCATGGCCAGGTGGTTAGGGCACTCGACTCGCAGTCTGCGGATAGTGGGTTCAAATCCCCGTCGCACCGAAACATGCTCACCCGGTGTCCGGACTAGGACGCTAGTCCTACTTTCGGATACTCACTTCCAAAAGAATTTGGAGGTGTGAGAAACACCATACGAAACTACCACCATGTTATTCTAATAAAACTCTGAATGATTTTCCAGCTTCTGATACTTTACTAAAAATACATATTTTAAAGGTATTTCTCAACCAGTACAATTTGTAAACATACATTCATGGGTCTCTATGAATAGTACTTCTACATGATAAAAAAACTGCATAAGGAACAACACATCAGAATCACACAATATTCTGTTGCTAAGCAACTAGATTCAATAACATCTGTCCAAACCAAGTCTCAAGAAGAAGAGGGTGCTATAGACTTATGAACCAATAAAGGCTGTCGTGTTCTTTCCCATTATCTTATCATACAAAGCATCATAAAAAGGGTAAAATCATAATGTAAATATCTGCCTTCACTGATATAATTTTCTTGTTAAATCATAATTTACTATAACCCAAGAATCAGACGTACATCCAAGAAAAAAAAAATTGACTTATAACTTTACTCAATTTAAATATAAATCCTTTTTGCTATTCCCTAGGAAAAAATTTCCATATTTTCTTGTCTATGAACTCAACACATTGAAGCATTCTTAAAAAAAACAACAAAAAACCTATTAACTCTTTCAAAAGATTTGCAACTGTTCTTTTATTCCTATACTCCTCTCTATCAAGAGTTTGGCATAAGTGCACAAAGCTAATATTTATATAGAAGACTGCATCAAAAGATGATATTCAACAGACGTTTTTTGAAATGATTTAAAGTTTCACTCTATAAAATTGTACAAATCAAAATCCTTTACGGAATGTAATCCACTGAACTCAAATGTGTTTAAAAACCAAAAACAATAGTAAAGCAGAAAAAAATTAAATAAAAAAGAAAATCCACTTTTTAAATATTAATGTTGCTGATACAAATATTAAGCTACTTTTGTAACATGCCAATCAATAAGCAGAACCACACACTAAACCATTTTATTTTCAAAATCTGGAAGTACTTTATCACTAGGTTTTACATATTTCCTAGGCTGCAAATTTTAATTGTCTTAACAGTTAGCTAGTTTTGTGCGTATACTTCGGAAAAAAAAAGTCATCTTAGATCAATTTCATATTTGTTTAATCAATATGATTGATTCAGTACACTGTCAGGAAACTAGTATATGAAATGAAAATAAACAATCTCCATACTTAATTAACATTTAATGAAATCCGAGTTAGGTTTTTATCTTAACTTTTTCAGCACAGGCTTGAGCCCAACCTTGTAACCATTTTGTGCTTGTTATAGTTAGTTATAACTTTTACGTTAGTAAGCGTATGTTCATGAAATTTGCCAGATTATCAGTAAACATTATAATGCTTTCATATGCAAAATAATTTTTTTTTAAATAAAGTATTAAGGTTTGTTAATCAATGTTTTTCTCATGCCTATTTTTTCTTTTCACATGTTGCCTATCAAACATACAAAGTAATTTTTTATTTTAAAATTAAAAATACTTTTATTCATCAGAAAATTTTTAAATTTCACATGAGAAATCTTTATAATGTCTAGATAGTTATCAACTATTTTTTAACAAAACAACTTTATATTTTATCTGTTATTTTCACTAACTAATCTCTTTACAGGTTCGGTATATTTGACCAATCTTGTAACCACAATAAAAAATTAGGAAATATATATACGCCTCTTTCCTTCTAGAATGAGCACAAATTATAACACAAAAACATAAATATTTAGTCTAGTTTAAATCTCATAACATTATACATTTATATATATTTATTAGTTTTATTACATTGACCTCTCAGCCATGCCTGGCTAACATTACAGAAGTTTCAATGATGCAGCACGTGCACTCAATGTTACGGTATCCAATAACATAAAACTGACCTTTGGTCTGTACAAAGTAACCTGTCTTGGCTGTGTTTTAGTAGACTAGTATTTTGTAAAATACAGTCACATTTCAATTATTATACATTATATATGTATATAGATTATTGCTATTTACAAATAAGTTCTTAAACTAATTCTTAAAACATAGAACAGTAAATAAAGAAGTAAAGCAAACAATTATCTCTTCTAGTTACAACCTTTGTACTAGTTTGCTGCTTGATGGAGGTTGCTAAGCCTTTTAAAATTTTGCAAATGGAGGATATGAAACAAAGTAATTTTTTTAGGTTTTACATATACATTTCAATAACCAAAAAAATCATAAATTACTATATTGATACCATAGAACAATTATAATTTTATCAATTTTAGTAACAAGGCTGCATTTGGGTCTAAAAAATGTGAAATTTCGAGCAGACTAAAGACTCAACTTACCTCTATGCCATCTAGTAGCGAAAAAAGATATATAATAACTTTATATTTAAAATGGTTGAGAAAGTCACTAGAAGGAAGTTCCGAGGTTTCGATTGGTTATTCATGTCACATATATAGAAGTGTATATAAGGGAGCATTTCTAAAAGTGGAAAAAGGTGGGGTGCCACTGCGTTTGATTCAGTACTTGAGTGGTATCTCAGCAAATATAAAAGATATGAGGTCCTTATTTTATATTCTAGCTTGTCAATGTCGAAATTTGAGTTTCTAATTCATACGAAACTATTGACTTAGTAATTTTGACATCACAAACATCTAATTTGAACCAGTGTTGCATTCAACATACCAAGTGACACAAAAATCAATGTTAAACTGTTCTAATACTTACTTTTAAATTAAGAAACTGAGTAAGGTAAAATACTAAAATTTTAATCTACAGTTTGATACCAAACTTGACATAAATTCATGAAATCGTAGTTCAATAAAATTTTGAATGTGAGTCAACAAATGCAATGACATGGCCTTTGACCCATGACCCATCTGGAGAGGGTTAACTGTACCCCACTAAAGAACACCACAAGATGGTTACCTTAAATATTTAATATGCTGTGTTCAGTTAAGAAAAGATAATTGAAA